TCTGCACTCTGCCTGACATGGCCTTTGCCTTTGGGCTTGGGATTTTCTGGCTTGAAATATGGCCATGATTTCAGTTTCATTTGTTCTTAAGTAGATTTGCGGTTTGTTTTTTTATTACAATATCTAATATTGTGAAGTTTTTTCAAGTCGAATTCTTCAGCAATTGTCTAGAAAGTACCCTGAAAAGTGTTAAAGTGTTCAAAACATCTGCCCAAAATCATTCCAACTGCACGCTTGGTGTCTTCCACCATATTCCATCCATCATAATAGATACTGAACATCACAGGATATTTCCGGGTTGAGTGCAGTCATCATTCTATGTGGGCTGCTATCTCTATGGCACTCTGGCACTCTCCTGTCTCTCCTGTGTTGCTGACGGCGTGTCCTGGTTTTGTGCATTAAATGCCACTCAGGCACTCGGCTTTAGTTTCACTCATTTTCCGGGACGTGAACAGGGACACATGCAGTGGATGTGGATGAGGATTGGAGCATGTGGAATGGTTGGAATGCAGCGCGAGTGGAGCGTGTGGAGCGTTGCATACTTTACAGCTATGTGCGCGTCGCTGGCCATGTGGCATGCCGCACAGTTCGTGTGGCGTGGCATGAAGAATGCAACGACCCGACCCGACAACGACGATGATGATGATGATGGTGCCACAGTGTTGCGTCATGTAAAAGATAAACAAGTCAACATTTTGACAACCTAAAAAAAAACACAAACAAAAACATCATAAGAATGCGGGAGAAAAGCGCAAAAAAATGGCAACCAGACAATGGATGACGGTCGCTACGGAGAAAGACTTTCTGACTCTGACGCTGCCCCTGACGCTGACTCTGACAATCTCTCTCTCTCTCTGTGCACCACGAAAGTTGGGCCATCAAATAATCGAAATCAACTTTCAACTTCCAACTTTGGGTCCTGCAATTTATATGCAAATTTCATTAAGAAAAGCTGAAAGAAGTCTGGCGGGGAGTCCTTTAGCGGTGGCATATCCTCCGCTAGTGCTGTGGCAAAATCCGCCGCGGGCTTAGACGCCGTCATCAACTCTCGAACCCACTCCCAGTCCCTCTCCCTAACCCAGAAAATAATTGAAACAAGAAATATGCATTTGACCAGAACTCCACCAGGACCAGCAGCAGCCCCCACTCCCCTACATCCCCCCTCTCTCGCTCATTCTCTCTCAGCTAATGTAATTTAAAATGGACGAGTGCCAAATTACTTACTTGGCCATTGCGGACATTCCACACCCTAAACCACCAAAGCCGTCGAAAGCGCTGCGGAAAAAAAACACCACGCAAATTACCCCCAAGTAATCCCCTAAAAAAATGGCTCAAAATAAATTGCAAGGGCGTTGCGTAAATTTGGTTTCTTTTCTTCTTCTTTGGGATTGTGATTGGGATTGGCTGGGATTAATTTGTAATTCAAATTTATTTCCAGCGAATGGTTAATTGGGTGGTCAGCAGCCGCGGCGATGATCTGGCAACGCCAGAAGATCAGGGGTGGATTAGGCCCAGAGTTACATTCGAGATTACTTCTAAAATGTAAGTACAGTCACGGGAAGGGAAGGGCTTATAGTACATGGCAGTATAAGATAGCTCGGTAGTTCGCGGGGAATTTATTAAGTCGATCAATTACACGCCAAAATCTTATGCTAAATGAATTCCACTGATTATCCGCGTAAAGAGGAGCACTGTTGACGTTTAACATGTAAGAAAAATCTACAATCTTAAAGTGCAACTAAAATTAACTTTTTGCATGCTTCCTTCTGTCCGTTCCTTAATTAGAAGCTGTCCGTTGGCTGTCTATCAACCCTTGAAAGCTGAGTGCAAAAACATAAGAACGTTTTTCTGTTGATGTTTCTCTTGAAATTTCCTTTAATTTATTTGCCCAAACTCTTATTTGAATAAAAGTACGAGTAGCTGCAACATAATGTAATTCACAAATAATTTGTGTGGCAATCGTTGCAGAAAGTTGCACAGAACTTTGGCGGAAAATTGTTGCATGAAGTCCTCAATATAAACGGGCAATTACAAACCATATTTTATCACTCCCCTTGCTCCTCTCATTCTCTCTCTCTATGTCTGTCACTTCTCTGTCTCTCTTTCATTCGGTTTTGATGGTCTCATTTTGCAGCCGCATCCGCAGCCGCAGCAGCCTCTCCAGCCTCTTCCTCTGTGCAATCATAGCCAACTTTTGTGAGTTTTTTCTCGTGTTTAATGTTTTATGGCGCACTAAAAAAAAACAAGAGAAAAGTACAAAAAAATGTGTAAAAATATGGTATTTATGCGGAGAGCAAAACACTTCAATTTTTGTTTAAATGCCAATGAAACTGTCATCAAAAAGTTGTTAAGTAATGAAACATTGAAAATAAATGTGTGGCCCCCGAGTGGGCCCAAGCACTCACCGCCTCCGCAGCCGCCTCCACATCCACTTCTACCGCCCAGCAAGACAAACTTTTGCCTCTGGCAATTGTTCAAGAATTAATAGCCGAAATGCACCATTCCGAAGTGAATGGTTGTGGAATGGGTGCTCTGCTCTTACAATTTAAGCTGCTCCCACCACATTGTTGCACATTTACTTTTTGCAGCGTATCAAGTCGAGCGCACAAGTTTCCTCGATATACTCGTATTTGTGTGTGTGTGTGTGTGTGTGTGTGTGTGTGTATTTCCATACTCTCGCTGGGGGTATTCTCAGCTATTCACCAACACTTTCGATGGTGCAGATGGGGCCCAGAATTTATGTGCTCCAACAGTCTCTGGCCACTGGACACTTGCTTCTTAGTCATAAATCTATATGGTTTAAGCCCTGTCAGTGCGACAGCTGTATCAAATAGCTGCTCTAGTCTTATAGAAACCAAAGAATTTAACGCTTAAATCAAGGATCGATACACTCTTTTTTCAACTGAATAAATTCTTATAATCCCCAACAGATCGGAGTGTATCTGTAACTTCGGCTTTAATGTTTCTGTAGTTCTTCTCTTTTGGGTTTCTTCTTTTTTTGTACTTTTCAGCCATATTTTCATATTCTTGGTATATATTTTTTGTAAGTTTTTTTTCCTCCAGTTTCTTTTTCGTTATTGTTGTGGAAAAAGTTTTGCCCCACTCATAATTCCCGATTGCTCTTTTGTTCAATTGTAAATCTGGTTGAAGGAGGGCACGGAACTGGGCATTGGGATGCGGTTGCCAGCAGCCTCTGAGCCCGCAGTTGTTTTTACGGAACATTTACTGTGCGATTGGATTCATCTTCAGTCGGTGGGTGGCTTCCACTTCGCTGCTGCTCGGACTTGAACTCTCTCGCTCGTTGTCTCTCTCTCTTTCTCGCTATCGTGTATTTTTGTACTCAAACGTCTGTTTTACGCTAATTGGAAAAGTTGCAAGTTTTTTGCACCCCTCCTCCCTCTCTTTACAAGTGTCTCTCTGTTTTTAGAAGCAGCACGCGTTTGGGGGGGGGGGGGGGGGGGGGGGGGGCAGGGCAGCCACAGCAGCAGCGGGAGCATCAGCAGTGCGGTGTGTGGCTTTTATTGGAGGCAAATTGCTTAGAGCGATGCTTATTAGCAGCTGACACGGGCCTCATCATCAAAGTTCGGCCCAAAAAAAGAGCAATAATGAGAGACAAACGACGAGAATTTCATACTTTTAAATTGGCCATTAGCCCGGATAAATGTTGCCCTGTCGCGGCGCGGCTTGTTGGAGTGGAGTGGCGTGGGAGCCACTTTACCGCCTATCAGCAGTAGAGGAAATCTCTGCCGGCACTTGGCCCAAAAGAGGCTCAAGATGCCGAAAAGAGGCCGAGAGTGGGACGTCATAAGCCCTTGCATCCTGCTCCCCCCAGCTCTTCTTTGCTTGTAATTATAATAAACAGAAATGACTTTATTATTTGAAGGATGTTCTTGCATCCGTTGTTTGCTCGCGTTCGCTCACGAGTTTTCAGTGGATCCCTTGCCAGTGTGTGTGTGTGTGTATGGGAGGTTTATGCGGCGGAATGGTTTGCGATGAAAGAAATATGGCAGTGAAAGCGAGTAAGCACGCGCCATAGTTAAAAAAGTTAGTAAGGTGAACCAAAAGTTCAAATATCATTATTGGAAGATGTTTAAAAGGATTTTTTGATTGATTCCTAATTGATTCTGTAAGAAATAGTGAAAAGTCCGATGAAAAATATTTAAAGGCACATCATTTGATTGATTCCCAATAGCTTAAAATCTTATGTAATACCTTTAAAAACTGTATTTCTATATATTTCATACTTAATTTACGTACTTAAATAATATCGCTTGCAAAAGAGTTGCCAGAACTTCTATTCAGAACGATAAACCTTTAGCAAAAAGGCCACACACTACTTTATATTGCCAAACTCTACACATTTGTTGTCCAAAAGTATTCCCACTAACTTCCAAACCCTCATTAAATCCCAGAAAAATCTGCCAGAAATCTTTTCCAACTCAATTTGCATTGAAAGATTGTAAAACTATGTCGGCAAAATCAGAGAGAAAATTTCCCTTCCGCACGTAACGAACATCACGTACTTTCACACTGCATAAACATAGTCGTGAGTGTTACTGTGCGTGTGTTGTGGCTGATAACTTTGCCTTCCAGGCTCAACACCCACTGCGCAGGCTCACAGAGAGAGAGTGAGAGCTCCTGTAGGGATATTTTGTGCTTACAAATAACACAAACAAGAAATGTCCCACGTCGGGACGTCGTCTCTGCTGCTACTGCTGCCTGCTGCCTGCTGCCTTCTGCCTTGCGCTGCCTTGTGCTGCCTGGCGCTGCGTTCTAACTGGCAAAAGGTCTAGGCGGCGATATCAACTAAGTTTAGTCTCTCGACTTAAATGGCCGCGTGCGGCAGACAAAAGCGAATGAAAAATTCATAAGAATATCGTGGCGGTCCGTTCCATCATCATTCGCCGTCGTTGTCCTAAAGTGTAGTCGTTGTGCAGTCTCGTCCTCGTCCTCGTCTCTGTCGCTTTGTGTTGTCGTAGCATTTCGTCAGTGGATTGTGACAACAATAGCAATAACAACAGCAACAACAACAGCCAGGGGGAAACCGCAACGGCATAAAGAGTGAGCGAGCTACTCCTCCTGTGGCCCTAAACGTCTGTCGTTAGGTGTAACGAGGTGTGTGTGCGATTGTGTGTCAGCTTCGAGTGTGTGTACTTTTGTGTGTGTGTTCTGTGTGTTTGTATTGGTAGTGTCGTTGCTACAAAAACACAACAAAAAAACACAACACACAAAATTGAATGCCAAATTGAAAGTGGTTGACGAGAGGCAAAACCCAAATGCAAACCAACCAACAAACAGCCAAACAACAGACCCACCTACTGAAAAAGAAAAACACAGCTACAACACAAATGCTAGCATTGAGTGTCCTCTTGGCCCTGGCCAAAAGTAAATGGCAGTCGAGTAGTTGGCCAAAAAGTGCAGGAACCGAATGAAATAACAAAAATAAAACATCAAGAGCCATAAAGCAAGAGTTGATTATTTCTCCCATTGATTTCAAGGGAAAATCATCAAAGGATGTCAGGAGAGGGCAGGCAGGCAGGCAGGCAGGCAGGCAGGCAGGCAGGCAGGCGGCAGGGTGTTACTACTGAGATGGCACTGGGAACGCACTGTGGGGGCGGTGGCACACACAGCGAAGGGCGACATCAAACGTTTAAATACAAATTAGTTTGGCATGTGTTTCCAACAAATTTCATTTCACTCTTATTCGTTTTGGCTCCCGCTCTCTCTCTCTCACGCTGTCTCTTTCCTTCCTCTCACTCTCTCGCACGCTGTCTCTTTCTCTCGCTCATGCTTTGTCTCCCTACCTCCCTCTGGCTTTCAACAACTTTGGACGGCATGTGGCACACTTTTGGGGACTCGCTCAAATTAATTTGTGAAGTTTTTGTATTTTTGTATTTTTGTGTTGCTTGTTGGTGTTTTGTTGATTTTGGTTTTTGCGTTCTATTTTGTTTTCGGCTCAGCATTTTGGCCATGAGTTCATTTTCCATTCTCTGATTTTGGCCGGTCCCTCGCAGTTCCTCCCTAACAGTTTTTGGTTAATTAACTCGTCGATAGTCGAAAATTGTTGTTCAAATAGCACTTTGGAGCGGAACGAAATGTAAAGTTAATGTTTATTAAAAGTAGAAACAGGAACCCGCAAGCAAGGCTGAGCAGCTCATTAGGTTAAAGTTTATTTAGCAATTATAAACATTATTTACGCTTTACCACAGCTATTCGGAAGAAATTGGTGTACTAAATAGGTCGCAAAACCTCGCCCTGAAATAACTCAAATATTGTATATATTCAATTAACTTTTTTCTGCAGCTGGCAATCATTTAAATGTTGATTTCCTAAACCAATTACCAATCGCATTTCCCAAAGATATTCTATTTAAATAAATGATGGCCAAAAATACGGCACTCTTGGCACTCGCATATCAATTTGCCTTTTGGCAGCGCGATGAAATTTTAATGAAATTAGACGGCAAACCGATTTCCGCAAAACAACTTTTCAATTTTCAATTGGGGAGGCCAATTCAGGGACATTTGAAAGAGGGAAGGAACGTGGAATGCGGGCTGGTGGTGTGGTGTGGAGTGGAGGAGTGGTCCTAGTTTATGGCTTTTTAATCATTTAACAACGCTCTTGCCTTTTGCAGTCAACATGCAAATTGCCTGCGCCGGACCCACAGCCGATCCCCATCCAAAAAAGAACCAGCACCAAGACCAGAACCAGCATCCGCATCTGCAGAAGCAGAAGCAGAAGCAGAACCAGCAGCAGGAGGACCCGCAGCAAAAGCACAATAAAAATTGCCTATAAATGGCCGGAAGAGCTGAAGGAAGGGGAAAAGGAAGGCAGGGCGGTCGTTCGCTGGATATGGAGGCCATGGATATACGCACAAGGACAACAGCAGGAGCAGAAGAAGCAGCAGCAGCAGCATCGACAGTAGAAGCAGAACCCCACAGTATTGAGGGAGGAGAAGACCAACAGTACAACAAAGCCAACAAACTTCCGCATAGGATGCGCCGGAACGGAAGTTATTTTGGCCGCCTGAACGTGAGCGTGTTCCTCATCTACTTGTGGTGCTATCTGCTGCTGATAATGGCCGCATCTGGTGGCAGCAACAATGTGGTAAATGGTCTCAAATGCTACTGCAATCCGAAGGAATGCGATGTAATACGCTCGCTCGACTGCCCCGGCAAGGGACTGATGCTCTGGGATCCGTGCAAGTAAGTGGATTCCCCACCCAAATCCCTATCCCACACCCCCAAATATTATCTCATTCGTTGGTGCGTGTGGCCATCCGGCTGTGTGGTTGTGTTGTGGGTGTGGTGGTGCTGGTGGTGGTGGGTGGGGCGAAGCCTCTTAATTATATGATTATCCAAATACCAGGGTGTTCCAAGAATCTCTTTCGATGCTGGTTTTGGGCTTTTAAAAGCAAGCAAGCGGAATGTGTGGTTTGTTTCTGAGATTTAGAATATTTTTTAACGAGAATTTGTAGCTTAAGGCTTGGGCATGATTTCATTTAAAATGCGCAAATGAAACTCTACGAATATTAGAAAAGTACCAAGTAAAGCTACGAAACCTCTTTTGGCTTGCTTTCGAGTATTTAGTGCTTTCTAGGACACACCGATGCTAATTACCATTAATATAGTTAGATGGTCGTGGGTCACGTACATTCCATTTCAGCATTCGCATTCGAATTCGCATCACGCATCACGCATTCCACGCTAAACCCCCGATTCAATTGAGGGTGTTAACTAATTGTTAACGCTTATCGAAACCCCAGTCAGAATCGAATCAATTGCCACTGGGATTCATTTACGATATTATTATACATACAAATATCTCTATCCCTATCCCTATCTACATATATACTTCATTTCTATTCACAGATGTTGTCGCATCTGTGCCAAGACCTTGGGCGAATCCTGCGGCGGTCCCGGCGGTTTTTCCGGCCAATGTGAGCCGCCCCTGCAGTGTGTGACCAAGCTGCCCATTAGCAGCGGTCTGGGCGTGTGCATGGGTGAGTATTCCACGGGGTGGAGTGTGCAGAATATTGAGGGGGGACTTATGGGTTATGGCGGTTAAATCGCATATGTATTTAGTCGCATCCATTATGCAGTAACATCACGTATTATAGACCAGCTCGCCCTCCAATAATAATTCCACATACACCTCCGCTCGAATCAGCATCCTCGTCCTCACTTGCCACTTGGCCTGTGGCACGTTGGGCGGGAACTCGTCCGATTTGAATGTATAGTTGCGTATCTCGTACAGTTTTCCCTGCATAATGCGTTGGACATCAATTCGGTTTCAATTTTTTTCAATTGTTTTTTGGTGTAATTTGTGTGTGTTTCTGCACACGAATTAGTCGTAATGCGCCCCCACGGGCAGGCTGTGCGATGCGACGGAATTTGGGTTGAAATTTGAAATTGGAAATGAAATGAAGTGAAGTGAAGTGGAGGCTTCTCTCCACTCTTCAAATAAACATAGTACCGAGGTTTGAGCTGCTCATGCTGTTGTTCCTGAATTTTGACAAATATTTGCTTCTATTTATTGAAAAGTTATTTTGTGCAAACGAAAATATTTGTCTTTGTTCGAGACTTTGTGCTAGGAGTGAAAGTGGGAGTGAGAAGCGGAAACGCTCAGCACAAATTTTGGTGTGCTTTAAATGTTTCACAATTTCAACTCAAATTACAACGCACACACAGCACACACATCAAACAGTACACACCTTAAGCACTGGACATCCTGCGGAGAGATTGGTAACCTTCCTGAAACGCCTGAAGAGCTTGCCCAGGATATTGTTTTCATACATGGCGCTCAAGTACTTACAGCCATCCATCTTCAGCTCGGCCACGTTCATGCGGGTATTATCCTTCTTGAACAGATCGAATTTCGAGTGTATTTCGAACTGATGGAAGGTTTCGTTCAGAATAAATCGGCCGGCTACTATGGGTGTTCTCTTGCGATGGATAATGCAGGTCATCTCAGTGAAGGCCGATGGCTTCACAGCGCGGCACTTCAGATTGTTCAAAATGATCTCATAGTTCTATAGAATGCGAAGAAGGGCCGTTACTCTCTGCTCTCCTATGCGGTTGTGGTAGGACAAACCCTTGCGTGTCCCAGTTCCAGTCGCAGAATTAGAATGAAAAAGCATAGTGCAACACGGGCAAACATCCTCTCGAACTAAGCGGAAATGTTCAAAGCTCTACTCTTTATATAGCTGGCCGTAATTTGAATTTAAATTGAACACTTTGTATGGTAATCGCTTTTAATGCGCTGCCAAAATCAAAGGTTAATTTAATGCCTTGATGAACATTTAATGTGTTTATTAATCCGCATATTTCCACTGATACGGGGGCCAATGATATAAAAAATAACTAAAATTGGCTTCATTTCTGTGTAGATTTGCAACATCTGACCGCATTGACCTCTTCGCATGACAACTGTACCGAGGGGGAGTCGATTGTCTTGCAGCCGGGCTGCGAGATCACCAACAAGCGCTGCCAGTGCTGGCCCATCATGCGCACCTGTCTCAGCGAGCTGTCCAGCGATGGTGCATCCCCCAATGATTCACGTTGGCACTTCAAGAACATGGAGGTAAAGAAAGAAACCCAAAAATATTCCTGGCATGGATAATAATGTCTTTTGTTTTCACAGGACTGCCAGTTAAACTTGCAAAATCTCATTAAAATCGAATTGGAATTCGATGGAGACTACAAAATCTCACCGAGCAAATTCACGTACAAAAAGCTCCGCAGAAAGCGAAAATCTTTAAGGAAACGCATGTAAGTCAGTCCCCGTCCCCCGAGGGCAATCCCCTAGCAATGTCTAAGTATGCCACTCTTTCAGCATCATCTTGGACGATTGAGAGCCACATTCAGAGCCATATGTAACGTCCTCTACTCTCTCAATGTTCTCCAAAAACTTAACAGAAACCAAACAAAAGATCTTGTACAGATAGTATGCTTACTTCTAAATGATAATATGGCTATTATAAATACCAATACATATGCATACGTACATAAATACCTATACATATACAAAAGGGGAAACGCATACATCTAAAGAATAAAATAAAGCAATTGTATGTGTATCGTATCCTAAGACATTTGTTACTTTATTGCGCGCAATTTTTCCTCAAGAACCCGCCCCACAAAACCGAATACAAACCGCATACATACGAGTACATATTCATTAACAATAAACTGAACGCACACTTACGCACATGTGTTTGTGTATGTGTTGTTGCTTTACAAATAATGTTGCAAATAATAAGTAAATAATTAAGTGAACAAAAATTAATGCAAGTTGTTTTAATTGAATTTGATTTGAGAACTTAACGTTACACTTCTAATTTAATAACGTAACACTAACAGAGCCATGTATGCCATGTCCTGATCCGACAGGGGACAGCCGAGTTAAAGCCATGTAGGGATTCTATTTAAAAAAAGATATTATCCTTAATGTCCTTGCACCAGAAGTGATGGCGTAGATTCCGGGACATTGTCCCGATTACAAGGAGGTGCTGAATGTCCTTATCGTACAGGAGACGGCCGGGTTATAGCCTTGTAAGGGCTATAATTAATAACAACGGTAAAATGGCATTATCCTTAATGTCCTCTCATCCGAAGTGATTGCGTAGGATCCGGGACATTGTCCCGATTACAAGGAGGTGCGGCACGTCCTGATCGGCCCACAAATAAAGGATAAAACAACAAAAATGATGTCCTCTTGTTCAATTTATGTTGATGTACAACAAAAGTTGTTTTTGTTGTATTTGTACAAGATGGTGTTTGTTGTACAACAACCAAGCTGCTTCCACAGTGGCGCCCCCGGGATCACGACGGCCACTTCTGGAACTACGAAATCTTAGTTCGAGAATTGACCGCTCAGAGTTGGGTGCTGGTGTTTGAATGTTTTGTTGTACAACAAACAACTTTGAAATTGCCTCGCACAAATGGCAATTTTCGGTCGAAGGTACTAGGCGAACATAAATCAGCAGAAGGTAGCTGGTTTTTAACTTTCTTCATCGTGGCAAGAGCTGGCTGCTATGAAACTTGGCAGTTTTTTTAAACTCAAGTCACTAAAAATATGCACCAAAATATTTTGCATTTATTTAAATTGTTGCATAATTTTGTTGCATACTTTAGGTTACCGATTAAACAAAAGTTGCCGTTTCTTTTTTCCGAATTGGCAGTGCCCTATACCTTTAGTGATCAGGAGAATAACATCGATCCTCTATTATTTTAAAACTCAATTACTGGGCTATTTTTCTTCCAATTAGGGCAGCTCTGTGCTACCTTACTTCTCGACCTACATCCCTACTGCCAAGGTTCTTTAAATCAAGGACTTGAAACAATAGGCTCCTACAATTAATGTTATAACTTCTCATTTATTAACATTTTAAAATAATTAGCTAACTAATTATAGGTAATAGGTAGATTTGTCACTATAAATATTTATATATGTATGTACAAACATATGTACATATGTATATGTGTACAAGTTTATTGTTTTAATTATAGTTTTTCATTTTTAGCTGCACGAAAATACATTGTAGGTGATCGGGATCTTGCCATCCACCGCCTGATGAAGAACGGATAGCCGCGGCGCAGAGCGAGTCTCTTGTGGAATGGAAAATCTTCTTCTTGCTTCACATCTTGACCAGCCAGGCGTTGATGATAAACACCTCTCGCTGGTGGACGCCCGGCCGCTCCATCTTCTTCACGAAGTAAATCGTTTGCGACTCGAAATAGACCAGCACCTGGACTCAAATTTCTCAGCTCAAATTTCTTGGCAAAACGGATGTGTGCGGTTAAACGCTTGTGCAGGCTCTCCAGATACGTCCTGTGGCGTGTTAAAAAATAATTGTATTACAAATTTAAGAATATTATTTATGTGATTATTCTGGCTTACTTTTCTAACAGAGTTTCTGCTGGATCGGGGCAATATTTTTATTGGAGCTGGCTGACAACTCCAAGCTAACTGCGATGGTTTTGAACTGCCAGCATATCGAATATTTGGAGCAGATACAGCAGCCCCTCCATTTTGAAGCATATTTCCGTATTAAAGATCCTCATCCCTTTTCATGAAGTGAAGCTTTAAGAAATGCGTTGTATTGCTTCCATGATATGGCAGCCAATTGATGCACAATTTGTAGCTGAAAAAGTTCCTTGAATTAGCTTAATCTTCATCAAACTTCTTTACGGTTTACTTACGTGGAACTTGCAAATGTGCTTCTGTCAATGTTCATTCGCGTTGAAGCACTTTCACTTATTTCCGGGCTGACATTCCTCGTCCTGCAAGCCGCTGAACAGTCAATGCCACCCTCACCATTCTGCTCATTGAGCTCGAAGCCATACTGCTGATGCTGGCTGTTGCTGGAGCTTAGATGTCCATCCATGTCCAGGAAAGTTGAATCCGGGTCCATCTATACACGTAAGTGCTAAGAAAGTAACGTTGTTGTTAATTTGAATTAAATTTCGTTTCGTTAATGTTATTTAACAGCGTATGCAAGTATAACAGCCAGCGCGCTGTTAGATTATAACAGCCACCAGTAACAGCACGTCAAAGCGTAACAGAGGAGTCAATCGTTTGCAGCAAACTCTTAAGCGGCGGCGCAAAGAAAGTACGCAAAACGGACACGTAGTCCCGTGGCGGCGCCAGTGAGCAGATAAATTCAAAAGTTTGGGCGGTTAAAATTATTTAATTTAGGATTGAAAGTTGATTGAATATGGTAGGAATATAAATTCAGTCTCACATTTCCTCTTCTGCAGCTCTTCGGATCATCAGAACTACCAGAACAAAATAAAGGCAACAACAACAACGAAACAAATGAAGACATAAAGCAAAACCTTTTGGCCTAAAACTCGACCATCAACGGCAGTCAGCAGTCGAGTGGGGTCAGTTCTTCAAAAGATCAAAGATATACTTTGGCGCTTAAGTGTTTTCCCTCCACTTCTCTGGCATCCCCATTGCCATCTCCATCTATCATTTCAAGGAGTTTGAGATATTTGTTTCGTTTTCGTATTGAGTTGTTATATTTCTGTGTGCTCTGCGAGCACTCGAATTTGTTAGGCACCTTAGTGGAGCAAACAAAAGCAATTAGACGGCGTCATCTGACAGCCTCAATGGAATAGTTTTTTGGCCCCTGGGCCCCATGTCTCGAGAGGAATGCGCCGAAGCGTTTATCGATCGCCCTCTGATGGGATGTCCAACTGCCAATGAGGTACCAGCCACAGACAGGGGGGGACCCAAACCAAACGGGGGGCTACTGTGTCCAGAGCAGAACAAAAGATCTCAAGTGCGGAGGAGTGAGGTGTTAAAAATTCTACTTTTTATGCTCTTATTATGATTTGCCTCTTTGCTGCTTTGCTCGAGACTTTGATGGACATTTACGATATGAGAAGTGTGCGTGTGTGTGTGTACGGGTGTTGTCTTCTGTATCTTTGCTTCTTTTGTTTCACTTGTTTGACAAGCGATGCGTACAAATCAAAGCAGGGATCGGACAGAGAGAAAGAGAGAGAGAGAGGAGACCCGATCTACGAGTCCCCCAGTCCGAGACTCGACTCAGACTCGTCTGTTGTTTGATTAATAGCCGCACAATTGATATGTTAAGTGGTAAATTACTCCATTGGCACGCAAATGTATCTTGAACAATACACATGCATACAAAAACAGGCAAATTGTTGTTTGTTTAAGGCGCCGCAATGAATCCGAGAGATGCCTATCGCGAGCCCCGAATCTTGGGGCCCCGCTCTCGAGGCGGAGCCTAAAGTGCGTAAAGTGATTTAATTTTGAATGGGCGACGTTCAGAGAAAGTTTATCAAATCCACTCACACTCACACTCACACTCACACTCGATCAATTATTCAATTTATTATTTTATATGAATATTTCCCTCAAAAGAAAAGCCTCGAGCTTCAGGCTTCATTTTCTAAGGTTCGTTGGCTTAAAATTAAAAGCCATTAGTCTATTTATAACACGCTTTCAGGGGACACGACACTCTCAGCTCTGGTTATGTTTTTATGGTCCCGTTTATACCTTTTAAATCAAACAAGAAACAAAACCAAACCATGCCGATCCGATCCGAAACGAAAAATCCATTAAAAGAGGAGTAGAATTCAAACAATAGGAAGGGGGATGGGGTTGTCTTGGGGCGTTTGATGTCATTAAATTTTTGGCACACCATTAAATCCATCGCCGTGGCATTCCGTGTGACTTGTTATTGTTTTATTGAAGAAATCACCCGCAGAAGTGTTATAAAAATCATTTAAAAGCGAAGATTGCCATAGATTTGATTCGATTGATTTTACCCGTTTTCTTTGTTTTTAGTTTTTATTCTGTTTCTGTTTTTTGTCTCTTTATTTTAATTTACGAAAGCCTTCGTGGCTGGCGTGGCTTCATGCTCAACTAAAATGATTTAATTTCGAAACGTGCCTGGCACATTTTATGATCAATTTTCGCTTTAAATATAGATTGAATGCCTCAGCGAATTATTTAAATTTTGGAGGTTTCGTTTACGTATTCCGTTTTGGCAGCTCTACGGTTTCGGATATCATGTGACTGAAGGGTAAAGAATACTTATTGGAATGTGATTGAAATTGATCATTAGTCATAAATAAGTGTACTTAAAAAAATGGGGCATATTAATTGGTTATAGAAGGGACACTTTATAGCTCCTCCTATAACGCCTCAGACTAAACTTCCCTTCCTAGATCCATATTTTATTCTCTCATAACATAGTTTACCTTACAATACCCATCCATTTCGATGCTATTCTCAATCAGATTGATTGCTTAGCCCACTTCCTGACATGGCCAATCTCATTTCCATCTTTGCCTTCGATTGTTGATCTCTCGATTGACTTCATTTCCATTTCTATTGTGTTGCACGGCTCTTCGTCGATGCTTCGTTGTGGTTTGTGCCTCTCATAAATAAACTGTGGCAAATTCTCTAAGCCAACCTGCTGAAGTTCCCATAAATTATAAGCCCAAACCAACGATCTCTGTTTTGTTGTTGCTGTTGTTGCTGTTGTTGTGTCATTTTTCCGGCGCGCTTAATAAACAACACACACTTTATGCGTTCTCTGTGGCTCTTGTGTGCCTGTGCCTGCGCCTGCCGATTGCTGTTATATGATTTCATATATCATCAGAGAG